TTTCATCAACTGGGGCCTTTGCTAACCAAGGCTCTACTGTAAATGCAGTTTTAGGGGTGTCCCTTATTACCCCAGGGGGGGAGGGGTTTCCCCAGGGGGGGAGGCGTTTCCCTTATTACCCCGTTTTGCGGAAATGGCCGCCATTTTTTCTTGGAATGACATATGCAAATTCTATCAATCACATTTTCAAGCCAACATCAGTGTGCAACTTTTATGTAAGTAAGATTTTTCAATACCGGTACTACAAATACTTTTTCTGCTACAGACCTTAGCAGAGGTACTTTTCCAAAATCTCACTTTTCACACTTTTCTGAGATTTTTTAGAGGTAATAAATGTATGATTTCTCAACTTGCTTTATACTGCATAGATAGTAAAAATGTTGAACTTTACACCACTATTTTTAATTTTGCAATATTTTGATTAGTTTAGCTGCTACAACATTTCTACAAAATGTTAAAGGACTGTCCCATTTTACCTCACCCATCCCTTTTAACCCCGCTTGACGGTATTACCTTATCCATACATTACTGTATTATTATTCTGATATTACTGTATCCATGGACATGCCATTGAGCATTGACCATAACCTTGTCCACTGCAAGCTTCATATCAGCAGCCATGTAGCATTTCTTCTGTATCTATAAGCTTACAGGATTGTTTGTAATTTTGCTCAATTTTAATCAAATCAAGTGATTTCACTATAACAAAAAGGATTGTAAAAAAATACTTAAAAATACTTTTTTAAAAAACACGTTTTTCTTGTGGACTAAAAAGTAGAAAATAAATTATGGCTTGCCCCAAAAACGTGTGTCGGGCAGATTTATGATTCAAGCGAAAAGCACACAACACACGAATTTTGGAAATTTAATGGTGAACGTACAGCCCGAGCCATGTTTTTGGGGCGAGCCATAATTTATTTTCTACTTTTTAGTCCACAAGAAAAACATGTTTTTTAAAAAAGTATTTTTAAGTATTTTATTTTCTCCTTTTTAGTCCGTTGCTACACGGACTAAAAAGCATGACTTGACCTACGTATCGATGATACGCAGCGTCAGCGCCTGCTCGTCTATAACGTCAGCGCCCGCACGTCATACTATATATATACTATAGATATATACTTTACTCGATTAAGCTAATTTAGGTCTATAATTGCTAATTTTTATGATTGTATCTGAAATTGTTAGGCGAAAATAGCCTGCATGCCGAATTTAAGATCTCTAGAGCAATCAGAAGTGGGCTTATTTTCGTTGTCAATTTTAACAACAAACAAACAAACGCAAAGCTAAGCTAAGAAAAACGTTTTAAAAACATACCTGAAACAGGAAGGAATATTTTAGTGACAACCATCATATTTTTTGGAGAAATAAATCATAGTTTAGGTTAATTACTTTTCATTCTTTGTTGCCCAGTGTTCAATTCTATCTGTGACGTTCTATGCACAATTTTGTGATGACTGAGGAAGTAATTTTCTATTAAGTGAAATTTTTTTCACTGAGCGAGGTAAATGTAATCAAAATTCTTTGTTATTAATTGATTTTTTCATTAACTGGAGCCTTTGCTAACCAAGATTCTACTGTAAATGCAATTTTAGGGGTGTTCATTATTACCCCGGGGGGGTGTACCTGTCCCTTATCACCCAGTTTTGCAGTAATGGCCACCATTTTTTCTTGGAATGAGATATGCAAATTCTGTCAATCATATTTTTAAGCCAATACTAGTGTGCAACTTTTATATACCGTCAACCGGGGCTACTCGGGACAGGCCTATGACACGGCGTAAAACTGTTGTAGTAGCGAAACTAATTGGAATATCGCAAAACTAAAAATAGTGACGTAAACGTAACTATTTTTCCTATCTATCTAGTAAAAAGAAAGTTGAAAAATACTACATTTACTTGCTTTGAAAAATTCCTGAAAAAAATGGTGAAAAACTATGTTTTGTAAAGTTAAAACTGCTAAGGTATCTAGCAAAAAAATATTCGCCATATTAAAAAATTTTACTTACATAAAAGTTGCACCCAGGTGTCGGCTTGAAAACGTAATTGACAGAATTTGCCTATCTAATTCCAAAAAGAAATGGCAGCCATTTCCGCATGGCGGGGCTACTCGGGACACCCCCCCAGGGCTATTCGGGACACCCCCAAAAACGCATTAAGGGTAGAACCTCAGTTAGCAAAGGCTTCAAAAAATTAGTGTGTCATCAGTCATCTTAAAATTGTGCATAGCATGTCATGTATAGAATTGTGCACCAGGCATTATAGAATGAAAAGTAATTGACCTAAACTATGATTTATTTCTCCAAAAGATAGGCTGGTTGTCACTAAAACATTCCTTTCAGGAAGTTAATGATCACGTGAAGTTAAATTCCATGTGAAGTTAATGATCACGTGAAGGTAATGATCAAGCTAAATTAATGGTCACGTGATGTTAATGATCACGCGAAGTTATTGATCACGGTAAGTTAATGATCACGCGAAGTTAATGATTATGGGAAGTTAATGATCACGTGACGTTAATGATCACGCAAAGTTAATGATCACGCGAAGTTAATGATCACGCGAAGTTAATGATCACGTGAAGTTAATGACCACGCGAAGTTAATGATCACGTGAAGTTAATGACCACGCGAAGTTAATGATCATGTGAAGTTAATGATCACGTGAAGTTAATGACCACGCGAAGTTAATGATCACGTGAAGTTAATGACCACGCGAAGTTAATGATTACGGGAAGTCCCAATTAAAATAATGTGAAATTACGAGCCTTCCTGTAAGCTTACAGAAACAGATACGAAAAAAATGTTATAAGGCTGCTGATCTGAAGCTTGCAATGGACAAGGTTGTTGTAAATGCTCAATGGCATGTTCATGGATACGGTAATATCACATCAATAATACGATAATGTCACATCAATAATACGGTAATTAATGTATATGGCAATATCATATCGATAAAGGAAAAACAAGTAAAAATCACAGAAAATGTCATTTATTCTACCTCTACATCATCTTAAAAAATCGGTTTTCCGATGCCGACCGCCAAAAATGGATTTCAGATTCGTAATCTACACCCCAAAAAACATATAATTAAAAAAAAAAAACACCCTTTTTTTTGGATGTAGTTAATCTGCAATAATACCACTATTCAATTATATCCTGGACGATCAATTGTCATATTCTACCCAAAACGGTCATTTATTCATATTTTCGTTTGAAATTGGAAATTTGAAACAAGAACCAACACCAGGGGCCACAGCTATAAACTAAAAAACTGCCTTATAACACATCCATGTGACAACATTTCTTCTCGCTTTGAGTCACCCACATGTGGAACAGCCTCCCTGATAGCATCGTTGATGCTCCGAGTATGAACGCCTTCAAGAACAGACTATACGAAGGCTCGAAGTCGAAGCTATGCAGGAGCACAGGGTTGCCAGATGGAGCCAAGAGAAATAGGCCAATTTGACTCATAAAAAAGGCCCAAAAAGGTCCCATTTGAAATTAATGGAAAATTTTTAAATTTAAGGTAGTTCTAACCATTTGCAGTGTATGCATTTACTCTCAACTCTCAAGGCTTTCAGACAGCAAAAAATACACCAATTTCATCACGTGTATGAGCTGAATTACAGTCAATGCTACATAAGCCGTCAGCCTGCAGCGAATTGCACGTTACTCGCCGACCGTAAATAAAACCGTATAATACATGATATTGAGGATTCAATTGCCACCTAACAACCATAAAGCTTTTTGTTCGCGTTAGAGAGTTTGGGCTCAGTTTTGTTATTTTGCTAACAAAATAGATAGTAAAGTGGTAGGCAACATAAGTGATGTTTGGCGGGGAGCGCAGCCGTGCACCACCAATTTTGTGCACCAATAAGCCCTGAATCGAACGCCTTGGATCTCTCCGGACATCCACCAATCAGCCGTAAACCACTCTGCTTTGTCTTCCTCCGGCCTCGCATAGAACCTGCCGTGCACCACCAGGCCGCGGATCGAATCTGACTTCCGGGCAACGTTAAATTAAGTAATTTTACGTTCACCGCATTTGAGGTTAGGTTTCAGATAGCATAGTTCTGTTCCAAAATTTGTCGTCCTTCGACAAGTGGCCGTTCGACCGAGGGCTGGTTCGACCTACGGCTTAGATCCGGACGGCTTCAAGTGATGAAGGCGACGTTCCGGAAGGCAGGAATCATAATGGTCCATTACTTCCAGAGGGCCTATACTTTCAAAAAAAGTTAAGAGATCGTAAGTTCATCAGCCAATCATTGACGGCCTTTCAAGCCACTCTTTTAAAAACAGTTAAGAGATCGTAAGTTCATCAGCCAATCATTGACGGCCTTTCAAGCAAAATCCACCAATCATAGAAAATAAAATAGAGCGTAAGTACTTACGTTCACTTAGCGAGTTTTGAAAGTATGGCCCCCAGGAGCATATGTTCAGTCTTAAAATGCCTAGCAAATTAGGGACCAGGCAATAAGTCCAGCAGCTATCTCAATCAATCGTCATTTATGGAAAGATCGGGTTCCAAAAGCCGGATCCCCTGTGAATCAAGTCACGAAAAATTCAAGAATCGGCAACAGGCATGCGACTATTTCTTCAGTGCCGACACTTCTATTCTATTGTAATAGACATTTTTTAAAGAAATAATTCAATATTTCGATTGAATGATACGCAACTCTCCCAATGGCTCAATATTACTGCAATTATTGTGTGCCAATTTACTTGCTAGTATTACGAGTGACCGGTTCACTTTCACGGTTCACGTGTAACGTTGACCTTATTAATGAAAATCTGACGTTCGTTAAAAAAAAAATTGGTTATGGAACAAAATATTTAGACTAGAGGATGCGCTGCATTGCCTCATACCTGATGAGGCTGTCTCATTTGAAAAGGACATGTGTCGAAATTCCTATTCATTGCCTTATTAATATTGTAATAACGCACAAATTCCATGTACATTGATCTTTTGTTGGGACGAACGATGGTCGATAGCAAAGTTACATGATGTGCAATGCTTGTATTTTTATGCATATATGAAGTTCCAACGACATAATTTCAACCTGCTCGCTTTTCTGAGCCACAAAAAACGGACGATATGTTCAAATGTTCACATAACGGATATTTTACCTATATGTAGTATAGAATATACAATTCATTTTATATTATATTTCTTGAGTAATATTCTCAAGTTACGAAGATACAATTAATCATATTATTTGGGTACTTCACTTGACGTGAATGTCGTGAAATTTTTTCCTTGTTGTCTTCACATGTACACGTATTCGGTATCATAGTTTATTCAAGTTTACACCCCACTGACCTCATTCTATTTACTAAAATTCAGCGTCACTTTCCTTGTATGGCCTTTCAGATATAAATATATTGCAATAGTGTCGCCTTTGAGCATGTTTTTTATTAGTGTTCTTTTGTTTAAATAGTTGCATTCATATTTATTGTAGCTGCGAGTATCGCTTTCAACACAGCAACAGTAAGTCGGAGTTGGAGTTGGCATCTTGATTGCACGTAGTTCATCGTGAGCTGAAGCTCTAGCTTCTCCTTAAATCTTAATTACTTCCAACTGCGGAAGCTTAATTCAACGATGAACGATATTGTAGCCAAGCCCAAGCCTGCCGGGATAGAAAATATGCACTCCAGTAACCATTACACGAGATAAAAAAAAGACCTGAGAGCAAGGATAATATTTTTGAAAATATCATCACAGACGTGAAATGTTGATAATTTGTCATGCAGCCATGGTCAGCTGTCGCGACGAATCACTTTTAGTCATGCAGATGCGGGAACGTTCCATTGCTCAATTTGTTACCAATTGACATATACGTATTCAGTCCATTTTTATAGTTTTCTGTTCCTAAAACATAGTTGTTAATCCTGAATAAGCTGATTATTATAAAGTTTATGACTTGACTTTTAGAAATGCCATTTTTAGGCAGGCAAATTAAGTTCATAATGATCATACAGTAGTGTTCACGTGTTCACGACAAATCGAGTGAATCAAAGATCAAACAAGGTTTTTTACAAATCATTAACGTTTTGTTGTCTGCCTTTGCACTCAACTTTTAGTATTTATCTTCAAAGGCATACCAAGGCGAATGCATTATAGGCTTAAGAATTATTGACATTGATTACTCACCACCGATGTAGAGCAGAAAGACGCCTAAACTACAGTTTTTATTGCATTTCAAACTAAAAGTTGCTTCTTGCACTGGCTGCTACAAGTCGCCTCATGTACACACCTTTGGGAAGCTGTATTGTTGTTATTAACAGAAACAAGTACCAAGATTACCATAGAAGTCCTTCAACTCGAGCGGTCGAAGCGACTCCACCTCGTTGGTGACAGACAAACACCTCGTTGCAGTCCTCGTACCCTTCTTCTCGAGCATATTCAGGATCCCGCTCTCCCTCAGGCGCTGCACCCTGGGCAGCAAATTAATATTCACAGTATGAACAAATGCACGCAGGAAACCGCTCTCGTATAGCATCACCCTGCGCAGCAAATAAATGTTCACAGAATGAATGATGGTGAACAAATGCACCAACAATACAGCTTCCCAAAGGTGTGTACATGAGACGACTTGTAGCAGCCAGTACAAGAAGCAGTTTTTAGTTCGTAAAGCAACAAAACTTAATGGCTAGGCGGGCGTTAATCGAAAAAATCATTCAATGCACGAGTGCATTGCACTTATTCTGACATGTTCAATGTTCCTAATCTCTAAGCATAACCATAGTTATATTTTCTTAGTTGTATTTATACCGAGATGGCTCAAATTTTGAGTTAAAATATTTACTGTTTGTTGAACGGGGCCGTGTATGAAGAATTTTTGCGATAGCACATGCAGGGTGAGCCAGGAAGAGAGAAACTGTCTTTGATGATTAGAGGGCACGTGCGGGTCTGTTGATAGAAGGATAATGTTTAATGTGTGTAACAACTACAGGTTTAATTTTTCTAGTATAATCCTCTTAAGAGTTAGGGTGCACATTTTGTTCCAGGACAGTCTTTCCAGAAAAAAAACCTTAGTGCACTTTTGGCGATATTAGGACGAGCCTCTATTTTCGAGTATGTAAACAGTGAATTTCTGTTAAAATTTATACAAAAAAGTCTTTTGCGGAGGACGTTCACCTTTACAAAATAGTAATTCATGATCCCGTACATCGAGGATTTGATGCCAACATGAGCGTTCTCGCCAGATAAAAGTTTTTCGTTTGCGCGAGGATAATCCTTCTCCCATGGACTGGCGTACCGATACAGCTTGCCTAATGTAGAATTAGGTTCTGCCTCCTGAAGCCAAAAAAGTGTGACTTTAGGTTTCAATTCGAATAATAAATACCTATCTTCGGATAGTAATATTTGAATTTCTCAGACTTATCCTCATTTCTATAATATTTAAAATTTTGTGAAAATTATTAAAGCGAGAAGATAATTAATTGGACCTCATTCGTTAAAAAGTTGTAATTTCGCTTGAACTAAAATAACAAAGACCAACACGAAAACATTCAGTAGTTATTTTCAGCATTTCGAATAAAATGCGCGAACACGAGAGTCTCCAAGAATATATTAAACCTATTTCGTTGTTAAGATTGTACGATTAAACTACACTTACATTTAGGTAACAATCAAATATTCAAATATTCTTTCCGTTACGTCTAAAATACGACCATCAGTATATTTCAGCGGCAGTCGTCGAGTCGTGAAGTTCTGGTATTTTATTATCATCGGCCTGCAATGACAGCCGTTGGTTATACAGACCATTAACAAAGGCGGAAATGTCCGTGAAAATCAACCATGACCGTCCAACCACGAGAAAATCAACCGTGTAGACTGTAAAACAAGACGTGTGAGTTGTCGCTCCCTAGCTATGATGTCAGAGGATCATTTGTTCGCAGTTACACTGTAAAGGTGCCTGTACACAGGGATAGTACTAGCCGCTAGTTCATCCGCCGCTGGAACTGTCCACGCTACTATAGCCTCGTGTATAGGGGTTCAGCCGCTTCAGAGGCATGCGCCGGCATGTGCCCGAGAGGGACAACGATGCGTTGAGATCTGCGCTGGAGAAGTGGCTAGTAGCGCTGATGCAGCCATGGTGAGAGCATTTGTGCCGCTCCTGTGAAGTATTTTGGGTCAAGTGAATCATGGCTTGTTTGAACGATAATGTTTCTAAGAAGAACCCATCAAAGTGGATTCCAGACGATAAGGCACCAGCTAAGGCAAGTGAAGGAAAGTACCACGAGTGCACGGTCTTTAATTCAAAAATTATTTCTTGCCAAGTCAGCAAAATTTCGCAGATAAGGTGATCAACCTGCGCATAGAAATCCCCCATTCAACCAAAGAAAATTGAGAATGCAAAATCTAAACAAACTTTCAATTAATGTAATTTTTCATAAAGAAATAGAAGTGTCACAAGACAACAAAATTTTATCACTCATTTGCAGCCCCTTCCTAAATTATTGTGCAAGACTTCAACGATTTGACAATAAAAGAGAAAAGTAGAGCAATTTTAAGGCATTTAGTCAACGTAATTTTCTGTTTTTTTTTTTTTTTTTTGAAGTGAGGTAGTTTTTTTTTAATTTGAATACCATATTGCTAAAACTCGTACTTAAAATTTTGTATATAAGGCTCTTAGCATTGAAAATGGGCAGCGGAGTTTTTTAGGTGCGAGCAGAAGTACAGAACTTGATGTCAGCCTTGAGTTTGTTATACTCGTCGAGCAGGGCGAGATAGGACGGGTCCAGGTGCGTGTATGGCTCCAGGTCATGCTGCAGTTTAGCGAGCTCCTGAGACGCGATGCGACTGCGGTCCTGCAGACGTAGTGACATGCCACGCAGACCTGCCATGACTGATGGCGTGTATGTTCGGCACAAGATCTGCAGCTCTACACATCTTTGGGGGGGGAAATATTCTGTTAAAACAAACGTAGGTACGTTATGTACGGTATCTGCAGCTATACACATTTGGGTGGGAAATACAGTTAAAACAAATGTGCCATATACACGGCATGTTCAGCTATACACATTTGCGTGGGAAATACAGTTAAAACAAATGTGCCATAT